CTTGTGTGAGAGAAGTTTAATTTGGTAGGTATACGAAACAAATAGTGTATGAACTTGAAACATTATATAAGGGGACTAAAATACATCATGAGAACATTATTTATCACTCTGAAAATGGAGTGGCAAATGCATTCATGGTCACGTCTTTACAGTTAAACATCAGTAACTCTACTGTTGGTGTATCCATCCGCCTGTCTGCTTATTGTTGCATGTTGGTTCTCACCCACAATGTTTTTATGTGTTATTCAGTTTTAATTTACTTCGGAGATTTATTACACAAAACAATGCCAGTTCAGAATAATCTGCTCGAACACCGTGATAAATCTGAACAATATTTTGAATTTTCGATGAAAGCGTTTCAGTGTGGAAATATATTTTCACGCAATATAAAACATAATAAATGTTCCTCAGCCCTTTGTCGATTCGGTATTGAACTGTGTATTAGAAAATAGCGTGAAGTATATTGACATATTTGTAGAAACATTTGAAAATAAATTTAAAATTCGATGCACAAATTTCCTTAGTACTGAGATACTTAGTACTTCTGCTAGTCTCCGAGACGATAGATTATGCAAAGACGAGGAAATGGTGAGTTTCGGCTGAACTTTGTAATTCCTCCCCTTGGCATCTGTGATGCGATTCAGTTGCACTGTAATGTGAACTAATTAGTTGCATTGCGAAATGTTTCGGAGTTCTTATGTTTGAAAACTTTACAATAGAATGCGAAATGTGACAATGGAATTCTAATAATGAGTTCCAAGGAAGGCGAGAAAATGTAATTTTACATTTATTTAAAATTTATTTTGCCGGTCACGGTAGCCGAGCGGTTTAAGGCATGTACTATCTTCGCTCGCTCGGAAACCGGGATCGTTGGTTCGAATCCCACAAAAGGCATGGATGTTAATCTGTGTGTGTGCGTTTTTCTGTGTTTGTCTACAGGCAGAGGCCTTGCGACGAGCTGATCACTCGCCCGAGGAGTCCTACCGAATGTGTAAGATCTAGAAAAACCAAAGTGAACGGATAAGTTCATGGAGGTAGGCCTAGGCCCACTGGGGTTGTAGTGCCAAGGGAAAAATGAAAGAAGGTTGCAATGGTTCCCATAATTCATTGTTGAAGAACAAATGCAGTGTTCATTCTCCAACCGCGATAGGTATAATGTTTAGAGTTTTACTTCGAAATCCTTTAATTAATATTATATTTCAATTTTTAGATATATATGCGTCTATTACGGTAACCTGTCCGATTTTGTGACATAATTTGTGCCATTGTACGCCACAAAATACGCAACGAAATTGGACATGAGCTCCACAGAGACTTTTGACAGTTCTGCTTAGATGACTCCATAATGGAAATTTTATGGTCGTCTACGTAGACCAGTTGAAACTAACCGTGGAATACGTATATAATTTCGTGACGAATTTACCGTGTTGTGTAACGAAATAAAATAAGTGACGAAAGTAGATAGGTTACTCTATACCAATTTGATATTAATTTAAACTACTGAAACCCTACACGACGATCAGAGTGGCCGAGCGGTCTAAGGTCGAAATGTCTTCGACTGTTCAAAGCACTGGTGTCATGGGTTTGAATCCCAATCTAGGTATTGATGTCTGTCTACTCTTTGCTTCTGTGTTTGTCGGGCGTCGGGTTGATCCCCCGTCCAAGGAGTCCAATCGACTGTCTACAAGATTCAAAATTTCAGAATTAATTCTGAATTGGAACAGAGGAGAGAGCCTATTAATCGAAGCGGAAGAAGAAGAAGAAACTTCCCTCTGCTACAACAGATCCACTGCTGGAATTCTTATGCTTTGTTTCATTCAGCTCCGTTTTTACTGCAACCGGTCAATCATGCAACATATGTTCGTAGCTTACTTAAAAAGTGGGCGAATATTTCATGACATTGTACCGTTTTACTTTCTTTGCACGTAGATAATGGGGTCATTGCCCATCCATCTGAATATTTAAGTTACCGAATTACTTACTATTTCGACTTAATTTTTTATTTGACGAATTTTATTTTATTCCCTACCGAACATTTATTTTCCCCATTTACACGACACTGCTATCAATTTCACCATTTTCCTCAAATCGGGCGATTATATATATATATATACACACCTATATATTGTTATTTGATAAAAATCATAAATCTCTTTAATGTTTGTAAATTGTACTTAAAATTATTTTCAGCTTATTTTGTGTGTGTTCACATAAATTTTATAAAAATATGCACGAAAGAAAATTATAGGCACTTCTTAACTGTAGTACGCTCTAAGGAAGAAAAGAAAATCGCGACGACATTGCAAGGAGAGAAGTGAGAAAAAACTACGAACAGTAGCATTATCGCGAATAGCTTCTGTAACGTGTAGTATAAGAGAGATCCCCGGGGAAAGAACCTAAAATGCGAGACAGAAACAGAAAACAATATCGAATTTTACGTTCAAAGACAAGAGAATTTTAAATAATTTTAAATTTTGGAAAATTTTAAAATTAGAAAAATTCTTGCAACTTCGTGGCGGTTACGTGTATTGTGATGAGTCCCACTAATATGGATTCATATTTTGACAGTTCAATAACAAGAGATGTATTTGATGAGTCTGCATGAAAGTAGTCCCAAATGCGGATCGAAACATGTATCAACCATATAGCAATCCTAGTGATTCATTTTTATTGTTGTGTTCACGGCCAGATACTTGTACAACCAGTCATGATACACAACAGGATTCAAACAGCGCAAACTCTCACACGACTGCATTGTAAGCCAGTTGAATAGAGACCTAACATATTCACCTTCCTTCTCCAACAACCATTTAGATACAGGGGATACGCGGTAACGTAGTTAGTTAAGGGACTCTGCTACAAGCCGGAAGGTGGCGGGTTCAAGTCCCGATGAGGTGGATTTTTTCAATTTACCTAATCCTTCCAGCCGCAATATATCCCTGCGGTTGACTCAGCCTCTAGAAGAAATGAGCACCAGGAATTTTCCTGGGGGGTAAAGGCGGCCGGCGCGTAAGACTGACAACATTACCGCCATCTTTGAGCCAACTGTCTAGAAGATATGAGAGCCTCAACTTCTCGCAACCCTATGCGCCTTCACGGCTTGTTACAGGGATAGCTTTTCCTTTAACATTTAGAATTCCATGCAACATTTCTCTCGCAAGTGGTCATTTAGACTTTCCGATTAAAGTATCAAACGTTTCTTACCTCCTATGCTTGCTGTACATTCTGTCCGTCTTCAGTGTTAATTTATTTGCTTTGTCGTCGTGAAATCTGTTAGAAATAAGTGGACATGAAGTCCAGTGACTGACGCAAAACACGAGGCAAATAACGTATTTGAATACTCGGGAACTCGAATCTAGACCCTCTGATTTAATAACAGCAAAAAGAGGGCATAGCACTTTTTCTCTGTAAACAGAGTAGTTGAAATAATCTCTGCAAAATAAAACACAATCTAAATTTCAAACCTTAATCCAATTATTAGAATGACCTTTCGCAATGTTTGTGTGGTTTCAGCACAACGAGTGTTCATTCCATTTCTCACCAGAAAGTTTATTACAAAGGGGATATGGCGGGCAACGCGTTCCGTCATTTATCAGAATAAGAAAGAAAAGTATAGCTCCTTGCACATCCGAAACGCTCTTTGTCTGCATAGTACGTAAACGCACAAAAGTTGAAATATATTGTCAATCAATTACGCTTTAATAATGGTACTAAAATATTATTTTAAAAATAGGAACTAAATAATAATGGGGGTACGCAGTAGCGTAGTGGTACTACGCTACGAGCCGGAAGGTCGCGGGTTCAAGTCCCGATGAGGTCATTGGACTTTTTTCAATTGACCTAATCCTTCCGGCCGCACTAGGCCCTGGAATTTACTCAGCCTCTAACAGAAATGAGTACCAGCAATTAATCAAATAATTTTCCTGGCGAGGCCGGCGCGTAAGGCTGACAACCTCACCGCCATCTTTGAGCCGATTGTCTAGATAATGTGGAACCCTTAACGTCTCACAACCCTATAGGCCTTCACGGCCTGTTACAGGGATAGCTTTACTTACTTTACTTTTATTAAATAATAATTACACGATTACATTTCTCTAGTAATGACCAAGACTGGGATGGGGAAAAGTTAATTTCAATTCTTTTGCTTGGATGTTTACCAGCAGCAAGCGGCCTATAACGGGAGAACAATGTAGATTTATACAAAATTAAGAGCTGGACTAAGAACTGAAATCTACGCGCTAAACACTGAATGACAATAATCTGTGTGTTACTTCATCCTAAGCATCCAGTTATATATAATTACGAGTCATGTAGTTAAAGTTGCTTTCCTGCTGATTGCGCTCTGAGAACAATTAAATCAGAGAGAATGCGAGCGGAATGGATGGGACCGTAAATGCATGTAAACTGTTTGAAGAAAAAGTCGAATGAAGAGACCTAACCGTAGAAGTGCAATTCATTTTGAAGTACATTTTTTTTATTAATAGGATATGAGGACATAGAATTGGCTCGGATTGGCCCCATGTTGGATTTTGTGACCACTGCCATGAACCTTAAAATTTAATCGAAACAGAAAATATCCCAGTTAGCTGAGTAACTCTCAGTTGTTCGAAGAAGATCTTGTGCCATTGAGTTTGTTTGTTATGCGTTCCTTGGCATAATATTTTATTCATTGGTCCGCCATTTTATTGGTGTCCTCATTCACGAGACACAATGAATTCTCACACAGCCCACAGAGGACCTGCTTAACGAATACACAAAATTATTATTACATGGTACTAATGACATTAAGGGTCTTAGAGAGATAGGATGGGATGGTATAGATTGGATTGATCCGGCTCAGGATAGGAACCAGTGGAGGGCTCTTCTGAACACGGTAATGAACCTCCGAGTTTCATAAAATGCTGGGAATTTCTTGAGTAGCTGCAGAATTGGCGGCTCCTCCAGAAGGGCTCAGCTCCATTAGTAAGTAAGTAAGTACTAATGACATTAATTGTTTACAGATGCGAGCGTGAGATTGGAAGTCTCGACGCCGGTACTGTTCGTGATTCTCTGCATCCTCTGGATGGTGGCCTGCAGATAGCGTAGCAGTCAGTTCGTTGTACAGTGATGACTGACCAATGGATGAACCAATAGAAGTTCTCAACAGCTTCCAGGAAATTGAATCGATAGTACTTGGAGAACATGTGTTCTATAACCTCCCTTTAATATCTTATGGGTCGGCCATTGTGTTGTTTGTAATTGTGTATGTTTGTGTGGGTGTGGAGGGCACTTCAGTCAGCAAACAGGTTATGTAATTGCTCTGTACGTAAGAGCTTGGGAACAGACGTGCCAATTGCTAGCTCGATTCAACTTTAGCGTGTGGAGGGTTGTCCATAAGACACAGCAAGCTCAGTTCATTTGATGTGAGACTGTTTAAAAGAAATGACAACCTCTTGGTAAGTAAGGATAATGCGCATTTGACACACGAAGATATTATTGGTGTTGCTGTTGAAAGTAAATTTCAAGCCGTAGCAGCATGCTTTTATAAATAGTTATGTGATCTATTGGTTGGAATACCCCTGCTTAATTTCTTGGTCTAAAAGGCAGAAATTGTATTCACTTAAACTGTAAAGAAAGTTGCAAACGCATTCGTTCATCTGGCTTAGTTTGTTAGTGTCATGCTGTTTCATATCTGAGGAACAGCACAAATGTAAAGGGCTAGTGTTGTGTGTAACCAGAGGACAAGACAGTTTAAACGGATTCATAAGGGTTATTTTAAAATACTATCACATTTTAGTTATTCTGGTTAGATGATAATTCTATGTCAGATCATTCACAGTAAGAACCTGTATTATATTTATTTAAGAAAAATATCAATTCAATATGAACATTTAGAAATTAAACAAGACTAACTTGTTTGCATATTTAAAATAAGGTAGAACCATGCTAAACGGAATACGTTGCTTGAAGTTTGGACTGTAACTCATCTCTGGAATTCCTACAGAGTAAATCATCCCACCGACCAGTTCATTGTATGTGATGTTAGCGAACACAAGCCATTTTTATGAATAATTTTAAAGTGCCATATGTAAAGCAGAGGTAAATTTGTCCTTGTTCTTAATTAATCACCGCTCTATGAAGAGAACAGGAGTAGTAAATACGCATATGCATTCTTAACCTCGACACTAGATGGAAGTGAGTTATTTCTCTATGTGCTCGACGTATTACCCCTGGGCAGTGCGCCCTATATTCTTTGGATAGGAAGCTGGGTGGGCCCTAGGGCCAGTCTGGACTATATGGAGTCGAGAGATAGGTTTTTATCCTGTCGAAGATCAATCCATGATTCATCGGTTGTGCAGCCCGTGTTCTGGCCGCTATACCAACTAAGCTATCCCGGTTCTGAAATGTAAGAAGTGACCAGATTTAAAGGTGTTAAAAAATACTCTCTCACGCATAGGGTTTGTTCTTTGCATCATTTCCAAACAAAGTGATAAATTAATTGAAGAACACAGTGTTCTGGGTACTCCTGTCGTGTAATTCGGAGAGAACTCGAGTTTAGAAGAAACATAACGCCTCCATCTTCAGGTCAGAATATTAAGCCAAACAAGAAGCCAAGAGAAGAAGGCGGCAACGACCCTGAAGATGGAAGCTGTATTTTCCTCAAGAACGTCAGGATCCCTCCGAAGTACAAGGAATTACAACCCAGAAGACCGTACTCTTCGTAGCTAACATCGTGAGAACCTTAGATTTAAAAGAATACTTAAATTTTCCTTTCACAAATCCGCTGATTGGAACTTCTTGTTTATTTCGAAAAATCCATATTCAGATACTATTTAAATTCAGTTCAAACACACAGATGTTCTGTTTGAGAATCGCTGAACGAGATAGTTAATGCTGCTCATATACTGACAGCGTTACTGCGGAAGTTCTCAGGTGGGAATATGGGTTTTGTGTAGCTGCTGAGATACATACAGATCCAGTGAAACATATTCCTACTGAATACCGTATAGCGCCTTGATATAAGTTCATTTGAAACAAATAGGTGCTTTACCAGATCGCTTGATAATTATGTAAGCTCTGTGGGGGAAAATTTCTTCTTCATTATATGACAAATTTATGAGTCGAGGCACGTATCTGCAGAGTACAAGTTGGCGAAGATGCTTCGGCTTCATGACAGTGCGATCTTTCGACAGCTTCTCGCAAACAGTGTAGACGTCCAGCAAGAAGAGCCTTGTGCACGCCATTTAACAATATGTGGGAATTCTCAGATGATGGCATTGCATAATGAAATTTATGAAATATTCGTATAAAATTTATGCTTTTCATCAATTAACAAATTTGAATTAAATATGGCACCGCTGACCACTGATAGCTTCATATCTTTACAGTACCTTAGGTAACTTAACTGTTACAGAGCTCACAAGATGAATCTCACTGCACTAAATGTCTTTCATCACATACGTAGAATTTCGCTACAGTTCTATAATTTATTCATTTACAATTATCTAACGACTCTCTGAATAATTTCAACTGTATATCAATGATAGTGAATGATGAATTTGAAAGGATATTGAAGGAAAGTGTTGTGGCCTAATTTTAGGCACTGTTACACAATTCAAATTAATGGAATAAGCAATACTTCGAAAATTATCAATAATCCTAGTAGATTTCAGTCGAGATTCGAACCAAACACCTAGCAAACAGAAGTCAGAAGCTTTGCCACTTGAAGCAACTTGTTCTACACAACCCTATCACTGACTTTAACTTTCTTTACAAAAATGGTGGACAATTCAAAGAACTGTATCTCGAGAAAGAGTTATTCCTTCGAACCTAAGCATTATCTGACACTTTTTGCTAGGTTATGAGGAAGGTTCAGTTGGCTCTCCGCGGCGATATGAACGTCAGTCACTTTGATAACGAAGAATGTGCATACAATGTGCATTGTAACATACAGTGATGTTTAGTTGAATGGTGGTGATAATTCTATTTACTGTGCCAACAAAAATTACTTTGAATGTGGTGCATTATGTAGTTTAACGTAGTGTGTCCAATGCCCTTTTCAGAATCCATGTTACGTACAAGATACACCACACGTACCAGCAAGAGGAAACTTATTCATTCGTCACAGGTCCCGGAATTAGGCAAAATATGTTACATTCGCGCTGGATGTGACGGTTTTAATCTAATGTTTCTCTAAAGGTCTCCGCGAAAGCTGATTCGTTATATCACATTTATGTTCTAAATTGTTACGTGGGAGCTGATTGTATTTGCGACTTCAGGTCATTGAATATTTATTATAAGGAACAAAGCAAAATTATGAAGATATTATTTTTGGCAAATCATATCGACAAAAAATTTTTCAACTCAGTGTTATTAGGATAAGGAAATTTAGGACTCAGCGATATGCAGGACACTTATTTAAAATTGTAAAATAAGAAATATGTATGGAATTACGATGGGGAACCTTTTGACCAATGTTAATGTAGAAATCGAAGAAGAATGTAAGTAAATAATATCAAGATGTATTTAGTAGACAATTTTATGAGGAAAGGCGATTCAATAAAACTAGCTCAGGCTCGTTAGCAATGGCCATTGACGAATCAGCATAAATGGCAAGAGGAAATTCTCCGTTATTTCAGTTTTCATTTACACTATTGGTATCACCTCTCGAGAAAGAAACCTCGTTGTAATTGTGAAAAGGACCAGTGTGACTATTACGTATGTTATGTTTTTAGTTTGGAATGTCCATATATTTTTAATGTTGTAACGCTAATGTAACTGTTACTAAAATAAGTTATTGTGGTTTGTTAGAATGACGAATTTCCCTTCGTAGCTTATTTCATTGGCACCTACACCGCACTCTAGCTTCATGACAATGAGACAGTTTTTCCTGGATATCCGTAACATGAAATTGAGCACACTTTTTTCTGGTACAATCCGTAAGGCCTTAGCAGAAATAGGGTTCCCTATAAAGAGGAAAATAATTATTATAATGTCAGATAATATCTAAGAAGCCTGTTTATAGTATTTCGTACAGACTGTCATTCGGAATTATAAATTCCTTCGACCAAGAGTTGTAATTGGAAAGTTAGTACATAATAATGATTTTACACTTATATCTATTAAGTTTAGGTGTTAAATAAGTTGTGTCTATATTTCAACTGTATGCTTTAGTGTTCTCATGCCTTTATAAGTTTATGTGGAACCAGTGAATAGCCCTTGAGGTGAATGAAATTTTGCACAGTGGAGGCCAAGAGTGCTGGCTCGTCCTGAAAACCCGCATGTTTACTGCTGTGGTAGAGTGAGGTGATAGGTCAATTAATAGAGTAGTTAAGAAAACATGAGGTTAATAAGCCTTAAAATACTTATGCCAATGATCGATTCACTGAACGAATATCATATGGGACATTGGCCTTTTTCTGAACTATATGAAAATTTGGTATTTAAGGCGTTTACGGGGTTGGTACTTGAGTCTCTTTTTGTCGTCACGTGACTTACACGTATCATGTAGCATTAATTAAGGACAACGTCGGAGATCGAAAATGATCTTCAAATGAATACTGAGTTCTTGAAGTGATGATCTTGTTGTTAGCTTTCGGAGAAATCAGAAATTCACGAATTTTGTCTCAGACTTCACCACTTAACTTAATATATTAAATAAAATATTTCTCGTATGATGACAACCAGTCATATGAGGCCTGGGGCAGAGTCAACTCAAGAAAGTAATACGTATTAAAGTACAGAGTGATTCATATAGAACCGGCCCGACAAAATGAGGTGTAATATAAAATATACCATACAGATATTAAAGTAATTTACACATATCTTACCTTGGATTGTGTGCCGCGAACAGAGCAGGTGTTGAAAGTGTCCGCCGTTTTCAAGTAGGCACTAGAAACACTCGCTGTTCAACAGTGAACTCCATGACTGTCGCCTGCGCACTGCAGACACGTTTCGGGATTGTCCTTGACCTTGCAGCATAAGGGCTCCCACTTGCCGGATCATGCGCACACCATTCGACTCAGCACGGCCCACGGATTATTATGTCGTAATTGTGAGCGGTTATATGCATCACCTGCGGAATTACTAGCAAATTCATCGGGCCGGTTCTATACGATTCACCCTGTATATACCAGTGCAATGAGTAATGCTTGAGACAACGTCGGTAAAATGTTTAATATTACCGGTATGGAGCTAGAAATTAATGTATGGGTCATATTCATGTACTGAAAAATATTAAAGTGCTTAGAGCATAGCGGATAATTCGCGTGTAATTTACCTTCCAAAAAATTCTCCCGCCTGCAGAATCCGTTTAACTCTACATTTTCATACAGAATTGCTGGGTTTGGGGGACTTTTCCCATCGTCCGGTATTCTAGGAAACAAAAAACACCACGTTTTGGAAACTGGATCTGTTTCGGCCCTCGGGTGAGGAGAAGGAAGACACCTATTCAGTTGGGCCCCCTAGAAATAGCTAATCTCAGTCAGTCGTGTTTTCTATTTTCTAGAATACCGGATGATGGAAACAGTCCAAAAGTCCAGTAATTCTCTATGTTACAGACCACCGTCAGAACCCTTTAAATTACTTTACATTTTCGCTCTTTTGCGATCTAATCAAACCTTAGATTGCATATATAAAATGAAGACGAAATGTGAGAAATCACTTGAATGCAGAGAACAACAGTGGGACTTGAGAAGAACAATAGGGGTAGGCTTGTGTTTTGTTTTCGGCCGACTTCAGTTGGGTTAATATTACCATTCGTAATATACTCCATTCTCAAGGTTTCATCCTTACAAAATATGTCGTATCTCTTCAAAATAAACTGTCATTTATTAAGCAGTTTTTCAGACGGTGGAGATAAATTTCAAGATATTGGCCCACTGATATTTATTTATGTCGATTTGAAATGCAAATTTCCCATTTAAGATTATATCTTAAGAAAACTTAAGTCTCTTGCAATTAATTTATAGGGTACAGTGGAAATAGACGGCTAATAAATGAGGTGTGAATTTCTGCAGGCATAGTTGCACCGACATTTGTACAAATGAAGAGCAATTTAGAAGAAATTAATAGTAACTTTTTTTTCCGGATCTCTGTACCAAATTTCTAAGTTAAATATAAATATACTTTTCGTTTATTGAGATATATTTACTGGTCACAACAAACTATTCTGAAATGAGATC